TCAGCACCAGGCCATGCAGAGTTAACATGTTTACCGAGTGGGGAAACTGAGGTCTAGGGAACAAAAGGTCATTTGAGTCGCAGGAACTAGACTTCCTTACCAGGCTCTTGCCATGGTCCTGAGCCGCAGAGCAGGGAAGGCAAGGCAGCTGACATTGGCGCTTCACTCCCAGCACCCCTTGCTGTCTCTGCATCTCATGGCCTCCCATTGCAGGCTTGTAAACAGACAGTCAGATGAATGCATGCTAACTTTCTTAGTGCTTACTTCATGTAGCTTTTGCCTATGCATGCGATTGGGTGTGTGTCAGAGTGTGTGTGTGTGTGTGTGTGTGTGTGTGTGTGTGTGTGTGTGTGTCTGGCACCTTGACTGGCTCATATGCTCACAGCCTGTCATTAAATCCTTTTGGTTTGTTTGAATTTTCATAGCCACACCTTGGTCTTGACCCCCGACTAGGAAGCACAGGTAGCTCACAGAGAGGTCTGTGGTCCTAATGCAGGTCAGTGGACCCCCACAGTCACCTTCTTGCACTCCATGCCCTGCACCCTCCCCCTGGTAAACAAACAAACCAAAGCTGCTGTCTCCCTCAGCCCTCCTCCAGTGCAGCTAGGCTGCTGGCTGTCACCCTCTCCCAGGGTCCGGCCCCAGCTGAAGGAGGCAAGGGAGTAGCCAGTGACAGAGACTGTGAGCAATGGCCTTGCTGTCTGTCATCCCCGCCAGGGGCCACCGCTTCCGCTTCAGTGGCACTGACAGATGATGCTAAGGAGGCGGGCTCTCCTTGCTCTCCTCAGCTGGCAAGCAGGGACTAGCCTTTCAGATCCCAGGATCTGGCCTGCCTTTGATTGACATGTGCCTGAAGAGAAAACAGCAACCTGTTTTTCATTTCTTATTTCTCATTCCTCATATCTCAACAGAAAACCCCAGAGCCCTGGCCCACCTGCACAGACAGACATGGCAGGCAGTGTCTGTCCTTGTCTGTAGGTCACATCCTGCATTTCTTCACAGCCCTCATCTCCAGACTCAAGACCTCTCTACCACCAGCTTTGGCATCAGATTCCCAGACACGGGTCCTGGCTTCACTGCCAGCTGTGACCTTGGACAAATTATGTGAACTTCACTTTCCTTATTGGGTAAATGAGGCTAACAACAGTTCCTGCCTCATCAACGAGACTGTGCTTATAAATAAGGCAGCGGGCACAGTGCCTAGCAAATAATAAGTGTTTGATCCGTATTAGCCATTATTAATAGTATTATTGGTGTCATTAGCATTCAGTTCATGTAAGCTGCAACATGGCCACTCCTCTGTCCTCCTTGTTTTCTGGCTCACAAAGAACCAGCACTTTCCTCCAGCCCAAGGGCTCAGCTTCTCCTTAACAGCAAAGCCCCTGTAAAGGCTACTGGCTGCCCATGGAGCCAGGAAAGTGAAGTACCCAGTGCTGCTCTTGCCTGCCTCAGAATGGCTTCACCTAGTCTAGCATTGGCCAGCAGCTCCGCCGTGCTCTGCAGGCATGCACACTCTACACATTTGGGGTGGGTGGGTGCTCCCCGAAGCCTCAGCTACACTTTAGGGCGGTACAGGACAGTAACAGCTGCTGAAGCTGCTAGGACCACTCCCCTTGCCCCCCCCCCTCATCCATTCTCTGGTCAGGTTCCAGTCTCCAGGAGGGACTGGCAGCCGCCTTGAGTGTCAGCCACAGCAGCAGCAGACAGCACACTCCCTACTCAGGCGGCTGCCCCTTAGCCACCCCGCAGCTCAGCAGCCTTTTCCCTGTCACTCAGGCTCTCTCCAGCAGAGAGATTAGCATTCAGACAAGGGAGGGGAGGTTTCAGGGTTATGGGCTCCCGTCATCTTCAGCAGCTGAGATTGGCTTGGAAAGCAAAGCCTGTCACAAGGGAGGTGTCCAGGCTGAGACAGCCTTCTGCACACAGAGGCCCTTGATGGGTGTTCTCACCCACCCCTCGGGCTCCCCTGTCACCTGCCTCTTCTCATTTGCCCCTCACCCAGCTGTGGTGTATGGGCAGCACCCCACACCAGCGGCCAGCATCCCACACCAGCAGCCAGCACCCCACACCAGGCCAGCACCCCACACCAGCAGCCAGCACCCCACACCAGCGGCAGCACCCCACACCAGGCCAGCACCCCACGCCAATGGCCAGCACCCCACACCAATGGCCAGCACCCCACACCAGCGGCCAGCACCTCACACCAGTGGCCAGCACCCCACACCAGCGGCCAGCACC